GAAGCAGATGCTGCAGAGACATTTCATTGTAAAGTGATTGCTTAAACCAGCTTGCGATCATGTTTCTCAGCTACTTGATCTTGTTCTTCAAATACAGATTTATTTAGTCACTAATGTTTACCGTGTTCAAAGGCTACTGTTAGTAATGTTTGGCAGACTTTCTGATTTTACTGGTCAAAACCCATCTTGACTGTTTAATTGCCTTACTTTCAACAAGAAAATTATCTGTTATCTAAATGACACGTGTGACACATAGGGCCATGCACACAGGGCGGTTATCTCACTGGCTACTGTTGGGAGTCAAACTTTAAGAACCCAGTCCTGTGAAGTCCTCATCCACTGAGCATTTGTGGGAAGCCAGGGCAGTCAGTGTCTCATGGCACTGGCGTGGGGAGGAAGGAGTGAGCGTTATGGAAGTTTTCTCGCAGGTTACCTGCAGTCCACCCGCTCTTCTGTTCTGACTTGCACAAACCTTACTGTTATAATCCTGATTCTTTCTTGAGATCCTGCCAATCATTCCAGCTTCTGAGGTGATTGCGATGCTGGCAGGTATCCAGAAATAGAAACCAAGGCTAAAATTTGTGTTTAATGCTTTCTGAGAAAGAAAAAAAAATTTAAAAACAAAAACATTTTATGCAATTGACTGCTCAAGTCAACTGAACTGACTGTACAAAGTATCTTGGCAAACAAAACAAAGGAGAGAAATAGCTTAATGTAGCATTACTGCATTCAAGCAATCTGGGCGTTTTCCTGGCTTAACTGGTTAGGTTGTTTGCAGTTGCATGTAATTACTCAGGTTGTAGGAACTCATTTTGTCAGACACAGATGACTTAGTTCCTACAAAGAGAATGTAAAATGGGAAAAAGAAGAATTTAATAGACCTTTGTCATTGAGCTATCTGACACTGTATTATTTGGTATGCTCTGTTTTAGAGGTAGACAACTGGCACTAATACCAGGAACCAAATAAAAGACAGAATGGATTGTTCTGTACAGACAATTAATTTACATTCCAGAGATTGATAGCTGTCTACTTTTTGAGATGTAGGAGAGCTGGCTGTTTCTTAAAACAGTTCTGGGGAGATATAAGTCCTAAACTAAAACTTAAGGGTTTTTTTCAGTGAGACTGCTGCTCTGGAAAGACAAGCTTCCTTGACAACTCTTTTTCTGTTACTTTTTCATTTGTTTCCTCATTTCTGTCTGTTTTGTTTTAGGTTTTTTCCTGTGAGGTGTTAAATAGCACATTACCTATTCTCTCACATTTATTTAGTTAACTAAGATTTCTTTTTCCAAAGTTGCATAATTAGGGGGTTTTGGTGGGTTTTCTTGTTTGGGTTTTTTGTTTGTTTTGTTTTTTTTTTTTTTAATCTGGCAACTGTAATTTGACAGAATGGTTTTGAATGTTTTTCAGTGCAAGCACTTTTATGGACTATGATAATCTGGCGGGCTAGCTATGAATTTGGCACTTTGGCAGACTCCCAGCTTACCTTTTAACCTCCCATCTGTACTTCAATGGGAGTCATGCTGCTGTTGTTTTAGCCTCCTCCGAATTTCTTTTGAAACTTTGGTGCAGTTAGTATTTGTGATAATAAAAATCTACTGGTATTCAATTCCATTATTGCGTGAGTAATTAAGCTGATGTCCTCAGTGCCTCCAATAGGGTTTTGAAGAGGCTTACAGGCTTCACTCCTTTGTTTTGGCTTGATGAAGGGGTCCCAGATGTTTTTCTTCTGTAAAGTAGGATTATAGTTTGGTAAATGGTAAGAAAGTTATATTGACTTGTGCTTTTACAGATAGGCTTAAAACTCCACTGTCGATCTTTGCAGGTAGTCAGAATTTAATATTTAGACTCTTTGCTCAGTTTGTTCATTCTCTTTTTCCACTGTCAGGTTAATTTTTTATTGCTAATTTCTGTGTCTTATACAAATCTTCAAGGAAATAAAGACAGTGGTGAGTATCCTGTCCTTCTCCATTATGTGGTGGCTTGCTGTTAGTGTTTTATTACTGTTGAGGTTTCTCTTAGCTTAGGAGTTTCTTGGGTTACTAACTATATCTCCATTCAATTCCATGGCTAGCATATGGGTGGCATTAAATGAAACTTAAACAATTTTAGGTCCTAACAGCTCCAGTGTGTCACCTGCCTTCACTGGGAAGTCCTGCTTCTGGGATCAGAGTTAAGATAACATATAGGAGTCTTCTGATGATCACTTACCACTCTGAATTAAGGTGTATCCAGTTTTCTGAGCAGCCTCTTGAATTTCATCAGTTCCTGTCATAATTATTTGTATTATGACCTTCTTCCTAACAGTCTGTTGCAATGGTGGCTGGAAGTGGTTCCCAGAGTACATCAAATATAATTATACTTTGATTTCTTTACCTGAACATCTTGACTTTTTGAAATACAGTTTTTATTCTTCCTTAGCTTAGGAACATCCAAGATAACGCTGCATTTGGAAGGTTAAAAGCTACAGCTACAGCTGTAGCTGAAGCTACAGCTTCCTTCTCCCATCTGCAAGAGCCTTATCCTATTCTTGTGCTTGATCACATTCTACTTGATGACGTTATAGTATACATTTTATCGTGTATAAATAATAAAACATGCAGGTCTTTTGATTGTAACACTTGTAATTCACTGAAAGAGCAGTTTTGGGAAGGCACATGATTTTTGGAGTGGGGAGCTTATTTTGTTTATTTGACTTCTTTGGGGGGCACAGAGCTGTTGACATCTGTTTGCCCTTGCATGATGTTGGACCATTCTTGCAGATCACTTTCCAAGGATAGGAAGAGGTGGTTATTTGAGGGGATAAATGGTTAGATGTAGGAGATTATGTTGTAGCCAGCTGGATCTTGGGTTGTTTAGGAACTCATAAAAAGGATGACCTTAAGGAATGATAAAATATGTAGTCTGCTCCAAGGGACCTTACATGGGTGACCAGCTGAGGACCTACAAGAGCAGCGTAACTGATCTGGAGATAGCAAAGTCTGGTGTAGGACGTATTGGTTGCAACAAACATTTCTACAGCCAGTATATTCTTCAGCTACATAAACCATATCTTGTAAAGCTAGTTTATGTGGGAGACAGTGGATTTACTGTTAGTGAGGTAAATCTGGCTTTGTTTTCCCATGTCAGACTTCTTGTACATGCACAAACCACTTTGCAACATGTACACAGCGCAACTGATCTCTACATGCACAGTACGTCATCCAGTGCTTCCAAGAAGTGTCTGATTTAATGCACAGATGTACAATGATTATGCAGACCTTGAGCAGTAAGTCCACTGTGTCCCAGAAATATCTGATTTTTATGCTGTCCTGCATACATGCTTGAGAAATATATGTTAGATACAGGTGGGACAGCACGTTTGAAAATTTTGAACAAGTGTCAAAAGAAAGAAAAAAAAAAGAATAAAATCCACCTACTGAAATTGGGGTGATAGGGAGAAAAGAACATTTCTGGGGAAATCCCAGCATACTGTAGCCTTGGACATGTCCGTAAAAACTCTTAACATAATGCAGCCTTGGAAAGGCACACATTCATGTGTGGGAATGCTTCCACCGTGTTACAGTGCCTGTGGTTCTAAGGCCTGGGGGCTGATAGGGAGATATTTCTCTGAAAAAAATCCTCAGAGTAAGGTGAAGACTTTTCATCCCTCACTCAGGTGGAATTTGTTGGCATAAAGGATTTTTGCAACAAAATCTGTATCTTTTCATAGGCTTTTGGGGCAAAATTTGTTTACAGAGGCTGGCATGGGGTTTTATTCCTCTATCTGATTTAGAACCTGCCTGCACACACTTTTTTTCTCATCAATTCCACCTATGGAAATTTCTCTAATTCTTCTAGGAAAAAAGTTCTGATCAGAAAGTGTTCACACAGAGTCACCTAAGGACATGTGTTCTGCTTTTGTTTCTCACCTCTGTATGCATTCATACACACAATGTCTTCATTTATTACCATGTATTTTTAATACACGGCAGAGGTACCTAAAGCCTAGACAGAAGTATAAAAATGAAATGGTCCATGCAAAAAAAGGGGGGGGGTTGCCTTTGTTTTATGTTTGTTTTATTATTTATACATGATAAAATGTTTTTAATTGTGGGGCTTTATTCATGCAAGCGTGTGTTCTTTTATGCATTGACTTTCCAGATCCTTTTATAGTTTAGCTTAAGGCAAGTGGCAGGTAAGTTAAATGGTACCTAGCATCCATTGTGTTGGAATATGCGATAACCATCAATGGTATATTTAGAAAATGTGCAGAGGGCAAGACAGGAAAGGTGGATATCCCTTTCTCAACCTATTTTTGACCTCACCCAGTTTAATAACTGAAGAATTGTGTATTTTTGACACAAAGACATTTGTACAACTGATCAGAGACAGCTGCTAAGATGCGTTGTTTAACAATGAATGCAAAATATTCCTGTGAGATTATTTTTGAGCAGGTTTAAACTGCAGAAAATAATGCTCCCAAGGATGAGAGCATTGTTTTTTATCCCCCTCATTGCAATCTGAACTTTGAATTGCTAGTATACATTAAGAATCCAGTTCAAAATAATCTAAGTTGAAAGTACCTATTAATTCAACCCATATGATAGAGTGTGGGTAAATTGGTACTCCATACTTTGTGCTAATGCAGAAATGGAGAATGGCTTCATTAGACATTGTTGACCTATTTCACACAGACAGAATGTTAGATTTGTAGCAAACAAGACTGAGATCTTTTCCAAACGTTTCTGATTCTGTCTTGAATACAGCTGTGCTTTCATGGAGCTCAAGAGAGAGTAAAGGCCTGGTCTTGCAAAATGCTTGTCATTGCCTGCTTCCTTATTGCCTTTAACCAGGTCTATTTAGTGACTGCTACCAACTTTTCATGCACACATGAAGGACGTTTTCTCAGTGGTGTCTGTGAAACCATCTATTTATCATACTCTGTAGTTCATGATGAAATTCAGGAGCACATGATCGAAATTTGAGAGTTGATTTAATTTGGGGCCTTTTTATTTCAGGGACCTGAAACTGGACAATATTCTTCTGGACGCAGAAGGCCATTGTAAACTGGCTGACTTTGGCATGTGCAAAGAAGGGATTCTGAATGGAGTGACCACCACAACCTTTTGTGGCACACCTGACTATATAGCTCCGGAGGTATTTTTTTGAACTGCACTAAGAATACAGATATCGTTCATCAGACTGTTACATGTGTAATTTTAGACACTTTTTACATGTAGATGAAAACAGTAGAAGATGCAGACTAGACTGTGCCGCAGTTTTTCCTGGCAAATCTTGCAGAAATTGGTTACTCTACTGCTCACAAGCAATATTCCATGTTGATGGGAGTGGCAAAGCATGGTTTTTCTGTTATTTGTTCCCTGAACTTAACTGTATTCTTCTCCATATGCTCATTTCTGACTCAGCATCATTGTGAAGGCACTTACTAGCCTTTAAGGTGCTAGATGCAATGCTAGACGCAGCATTGGTCTTTAGTAGTTAATAAAAACGTTCTCAATTTTTCATGAGACTTAGAAGGGGATGTTCATATGGACCGTACGTTTGGTGTCATTTTGCCTAGGGTCTTTGTGGGAATATAATTTTTTTCCTTTCTTTAAAGTATCTCTGAGTGAAAGATACTATGTTTGTGGTACTTCTCATCATATGGATGAACAGAAAGTATAGAATTGCATGGAAAAGTAGGAACTTTTCAATATGGATGCTGCATATCAGTTGGCAACATCCAAAGTCATTTCAAGGGACTCATTGGAAGAAAGAAATGAGTGAGAATCGTGCTCATTTTATGTATCCTAAATTTTAATATTATGAGATGCATTTCCAAGTGCCTAAAATGAATCAATACTGTACAGTTAGCCTGCTAGGCAGACTTTGTCTGCTCAGTTTAGTTAGTAACCTGTGCATCTTTGCGCTGAAGATTCAGTGTGCTGATTTAATGTAAAAGTTTCATTGGTTTGTCTTTCATCAACCATAAATTTGCAGCAGGGAAAAACGTTAGTTTATTATTTGTTAGAGACAATAAATTAGAAATCCGTATTGTTAGTGTTCATGGCTGTCAAGCTTTGGTAGCACAATTGATAAGTTGTGAATCATCTTGAAACTATCATAATATGGAATCATAGAATCACTTAGGTTGGAGAAGATTGGTAGCACTTGATAAGTTGTGAATCATCTTGAAACTATCATAATATGGAATCATAGAATCACTTAGGTGTTAGAAGACCTTTAAGATTATCAAGTCCAACCGTTAACGTAGCACTGGCAAGTCCACCACTAAACCGTGCCCTAAGCACCACATCTACACGTCTTTTAAATGCCTCCAGGGATGGTGACTCAACCACTTCCCTGGGCAGCCTGTTCCAATGCTTGACAACCCTTTCGGTGAAGAGTTGTTTCCTAATATCCAATCTAAACCTCCCTTGGCACAAGTTGAGGCCATTTCCTCTTGTCCTGTCATTTGTTACTTGGGAGAAGAGATCGACACCCACCTTGCTACAACCTCCTTTCAG